ATTCGCATCAAGATAGACCTCAAAAAACCCTTATCAATAAGGTTAATTCGGAAATCAGGAATGCTTAAGGACATGTAAAAGCGTTTTCACAAAAGGTGGAATATGAAATCATCCCTCTTACCACTCTCATTGCAAGATATAATGTCATAGCATGGCAGCATGTAGAGTGCTTCATCCCGAGCTGGAAAATGTGGAAAGGATTACCGACCCCCTCCTAAGCAACAAGGTCGAAAATAGTGGTGCCCTCGTTTACAACATAAACAAAATGCAGAGGAAATCACAAGGAGACCTCCAGCAAAAGAAAGTTAATCCAATCACCCTCAACAAGAGTGAATACATAGCTGGGGAAAACAGTACAAAGCAGGAGATGATTAATGATATAGAGATGGAAGTAGCTTTCAAGGATAATGGTTGGAAAACTCTAGAAAAAAAAGGCAGGGGCAACAACAACACTACTAATCTTGGAAAGGGATCCACATATCAATAAAAAACAAAAGAAGTCTATGTCAATGAAGCGGGGAAGGGAGGCTCTCAAAATACCAGATATGTAACACCTCGGCCTATGGTGGTGGTCTCCCATAATAGCTATGGTAAATTAGAAAATATGGAGCTAATAGGACATGCTAGTGACTACAATGCTAGACAAAAGAACAAAGTGGAAATAAAATATACTAGATTTGACAAAGAAATGAATTCTATACAAAAGTATAAGAAGAAGAAAAACCTTAAGATTATCAAGACCAAGGTCAACAAATAACAGGATAAAAACACCAATATCCCTTTGGTTGATGTGGAAATTTTGATTTAGACCTTTCATTGCTCCAACTTCAAGAAGGAAATAAGCAGGAAGTATTTAGGAAGACCAAGAGATTTTCCTCCAGATCATACATTCCCACTGATGTCTCAGGGAATGAAGAACTCCTTCAATAACAAGGTTATATCTAAAGCATACCTCTGTTTAGATTGGAACCAAGGTTATCTGGTAAGAGTCCAAGTAGAATGGACAAGGAGAGTGAATTTCACACCCCAACCTCGGAGAGCGCGACTGGCACTCAACCGAGATACTCCGGTCAAGCAAACTTATTTGATACTTTCTATCCGACCTTACCCATGAATAAAGTGAAGATGCATTCCATTACTAACACTGAGTGAATTTCATGAATAACACTAGTTCCATTACCATTAGTTACTTCATTTATAATTCCCAAAAATACATTACACATTCATAGTTTGAAGTGGAATATGTGATACAAGTATAACATTTCTAGTTTGACTTTCCAAAATAAAGACACAACACACACCATGTTTATGGAGCCTCTAATGGATACAAAAAGTAATGTGATCGTGCTGGCAACAAGGCCCCGACAATACATCAAAACACTATACATAAGGCACAAAAGATATAAGACCCCGATATGAAGGGGGCTCGCCAAGTCAGCTGAGAAGAGGGTGATCATTGACGCCTGCTGTAGAACCAACTGCATCCATTAAAGATGCAGCACCCCCGGTAAAAGGGACGTAAGTACATATGGAATAGTACTAGTATGTAAGACTAAACAACCTCTTGATGAATCGAGTAACAGTACAAGGAGAAACAACATAGGATCAATGAAAGCCTCAAACAATATAAAAGCATCAAGTTAGGAGCAAGATACATTTTCAAGTAAATTTCAATATTTTAGGTTGGGAGATCTTTTAATACCGATATACCATTGTATTTTTAGCATGAATTCTGATCACGGACCGATTGGCTAAACCGTCTCACCCAAAGACATCCAATCACAACACTACCATATACGCGACATGGCATCCGATCTCAGCCCGATCGGATAAGCTGTCTCACCACAATGTCGTGTGGGTTGACATCACTTTTCGCTAGCAATCATCCCATCCCAATGAAGGAGAATAATTTCAACATATCAATATCATCTTATTTAAGGGGATAATCTCATCACATCAATATAGGGATTTTACTCCTCAATCACTCATACACCGGTACATGTAGTTTTGGGGTTAGGTTAATTCAACCTACCCTTCCTCGATGACTAAACGATACTCTCCAAATATTTATTATATAAAGTAATTAAACCTCATTTAATAATCTTTCACACATCTTTTCATTTCATTGGCACTAGTGGCCACATGTGTAACTTCGTTCTTGGCACGTCAACCGTATTTTATATTTCATACTCACTCCTTTAACTTTCAAGCATCATTATGGGTTATCAACAATAAGGGCATTTATAATAAAGATTTTAACTTCATATATGAGCAATAAGAGTCTTACACATATTGAATTTTTCTTCCAAAATTAGCCCCAATAACTTGCAATTGAAACATGATTTTAAATCATAAAACCGTTGATACATTAGTCATACTCGGTTACATTCTTGGAGGAGATCATGATGTGATAGGAACAATTTGGAACACATTTTGAGTATATACATCATTCAACACAACACTTATTTAGAGTAATCAAATTTATTAGGAAGGACTCGGAACATGAGAAATAAGAACTTGAGCCAATCATAATTGCAACTTACAAGGACGTCATGGAATTCGATTCTACAAGAGTAGTTTAGCCACGTACCTCGATTGAGCTCTCCTTAATTTACTAAAATATTTTGGAAATCCTAGCGACTTCAATCTTTTAGAGACATGATAAAGTTGAACCATAATTAGGAAGATGTTTTATGAGTTCATCCCATTTAGGCATTTTATCAAGCACTAGGTGTGCAATATGATTTTAAGATTCTTTTATGGTGGATTTCTTTCATCCCACAACCCATTGTTCACCCGTTTGAGTTTAACAACCTCCCCACAACCCTTGTTAGTCCATGCATGCACAAGGTACAACTCCCATACTTAAGAATCACACTTCTCATTACCTACTTTCAGTCCAAATCCCGAAATTGAGAGCTAGGGAGCAGAATATTACCTCTTAGATAAAGATCTTGTGAGCTTTTCTTGTTAAATTTCAAAGCTTGATCAAGGATTTGTTGAACAAAGTACTTGGAGATTCCTCCCCTCTCTCTAGAGCACTCCCCTCTCCCTAAAACATCAGTTGGAACCTAAATAACCCCCAAGGTCGTTTTATAAAAATGGGATTGTGTAAAATTTTCCCAATCTTAAACATACGAAACTGGGTCTGCGATCGCAGACTGGACCGTAAAATGAATATGCGGTCCGCAAAAATGGTCCCAAAACTGGGCTGTCCTGGTCAAGTCTGCAACCGTTATGCGGCCCGCAGAATAGTTATGCGGTCGCATAACGCACAACACAATATCCCTTTGAAATTTTTTATGATGTATATGCGACGGATGTGCGGTCCGTGAAATGATTATATGGTCGCATAGTTGACCGTGAAATTATTATGCGGACGCATAATTGATCGCAAAATGTCCTTCAAAATTCAACTATTTTTTGCTCAGTTCCGCGATGGTTATGCGGCCCGCGAAATGGATTTGCGGTCACGAAACTAACTACAAAATTGCCTCCCTCTGCAAAAATTATGCTTCCAACTTCCCAACCCATTGCACAACCCAAATATTCTGTACCGTAGCCTACCTCACCATCACAGAACCTTGGGTTCTAGGTAAAATTTTGTGGGGCCTTACATTGAACAAGTTTACTTTGGTGAAATTGAACTAGGTCAAGACTTGCACACAAGTAGCCTATTGGTTACACCAAAAAAACGGGAAGAGGAAGTTTTACTGGATGACACTGCCTATAAAGATTGTGAAGCCGATATTGTGATAGAAAATTTATCAGAAGACTATGATTCCTCTAAGTCTGACGATGAAGCAGTTAGAGGACTAGGGACCTCTTCCCTTTTAGAAGTTGTTGCCAAAACTCCTACACCAGATTAACAAAAGGTCACCTTTACCAATAATTTGTCACCCAGAAGGGTGTGTAACCCCTATGGTACCAGATTTATTCCTCCAAGCATGGAAGATCAAGCTTCAAAAAGTGTTAAACAAAATATAACCCCCAATGTTTCTAATGATTAATACACTATCATAGAATATTAGGGGGATAGGTTTTCAAGGTGCTACTAAATTCTTCTTAAAAATGAATACAAATTACCTTATATTTTTCTCGAGGAACCTATGGTGGGTGCTAGGAAAAATTACAGATTCAAAAGAAAGCTGGGTATCACTCATATTTCCAAAACTGCTAAACTCTAGATTTTTTGGTCTTCTGAGTGTACTCTGGATATTATTGAAGACAGTCAACAACATGTTCTAGTCCATGTAATCAAATCCCAAAGTCCCATACCATTCTATCTTTATATTGTTTATGCCAAATATGATGAACTTCTGAGAAATGTCCTCTGGGATGATCTCAGATAATTGAGTAAATGGACCGTAGGGGGTGGTAAGTGATTTTAATGTCATCACTAACGTAGGGGTAGAGCGACCGGGCTGGATGAAATCCCGGTAGAGTTTTAAAAGAGTGCGGGCTTGGAGTGGCTCGCTAGGTTAATTAATGTCATTTTAGAACGAATAAGATACCCGAGGAGTGGAGGTGGAGCATGATGGTTCCTTTATATAAGAACAAGGGTGATATCCAAAATTACAATAACTATCAGGGTATCAAGCTACTTATCCATACTATAAATTCTGGGAGACGGTGGTGAAGCAAAGAGTGAGGAGGAGTGTGTCTATTTCTGAGAATCAATTCGGGTTTATGCAGGGGCGCTCGACTATAAAGGCCATTAACCTTGTTAGGAGTTTGATGGAGCAATATAGGGAGAGGAAGAGGGACTTGCTCATGGAGTTCATTGACTTAGAAAAGGCGTACGATAAGTCCCGTGGGAGGTTTTGCGAAGGTGTTTGGAGGCTAGAGGTGTACGTGTTGCCTATATTAGACCGATTAAAGACATGTATTATGGAGCAAAGACCCGAGTGAGGATGGTGTAAGGGGACTCAGACTATTTTTCGATCACGATAGGGTTGTACCAGGGGTCGGCACTCAACCCATTTTTGCTTTCCCTAACGATGGACATTCTGACGCGCCACATCCAAGAAGAGGTGACATGGTGCATGTTATTTGCAGATAATATTGTATTGATTGATGAGATGCTAGGCGGTGTGAATGCGAGGTTAAAGGTGTGGAGGCAGACCCTGGAGTCTGAAGGTTTCAAGCTGAGTAAGACCAAAACAGAATACTTGGAGTGTAAGTTCAGTGGTGAGTCTCGGGAGGGAAAAGGGAGGTATGGCTGGACTCGCAAGTCATCCGTAGGAGAGGAAGTTTTAAGTACCTTGGGTCTATTATTTAGGGAGATGAGGACATTGATGAAGATGTCACACATCGTATTGGGACAAGATGAATGAAATGAAGACTTGCTTCTAGTGTTTTGTGTGACAAAAAGGTGCCACCAAAACATAAAGGTAAGTTCTACAGAGTGGTGGTCAGACCGACTATATTGTATGGGGCTGAGTGTTGGCCTATCAAGATCGCCCATGTCCAGAAGATGAAAGTAGAAGAGATGAGGATGTTGAGATGGATGTACGGGCACACCAGGTTAGATATGACTAAGAATGAGGTTATTCGTGACATAGTGGGTGTGGTCCCCATTGAGGACAAGATGCGAGAAGCGAGGCTTCGGTGGTTTGGACATGTAACAAGGAGGAGCATAGATGCCCTAGTGAGGAGATGTGAGAGGTTGACATTGGAGGGCATACAGAGAAGTAGAGGTAGGCCGAAGAAGAAGTGGGGAGAGATGATTAGGCAAGACATGACTTCAGCTGATCAAGACATGACCCTTGATAAGAAGGTGTGGAGGTCGAGGATTAGGGTAGTAGGGTAGGTGGTAGATTGTTCATATCAGTAGGATTAGTACGCACTCTCGCATTCTATTGGTAGTAGGTTTCTATGAATACCCGTCATTTTCTTTCATTTTGATCATCTTATTATCGTGTTGTTTCTATGTTGCTTTTACATGGCTTTTTGGTGTTGTCCTTCATTATCTATATTTTAATTAATATGGTTCTTATGTTTTCCTGAGCCGAGGGTCTATTGAAAATAACCTCTCTACCTTCACAAGGTAGGGGTAAGATTTGCATACACACTATCTTCCCCAGACCCCCACGATATGGGATAATACTGGGTATGTTATTGTTACATTAATGCTGAGGAGAAGATTGGGGGAAGACCTTTTAAGCTAGAAGAAAGTTTTTATTTTGTTTGAGTTTATCTAATTGTGATCTTCAAGATGTAGGTTTTCTTGGTTCCTTATTTACATGGAGCGAGAATAAAAGACCCCCTTAACATAATTTGGAAGAGACTTGTCTACAATGTAGAATGGTTTGACAAATTTGGAAGGACCACAATCGCCTATTTATCTAGATCCTGCTCAGACCATGCTCCACCACTCATAAAATACACTACCAACAATATGGACTGACCATGAAGACTTTCTTAATGTTGTTCATCAGGCTTGAGATATAGACATCTCTAGGAATCCACTATATATTCTGCACCAAAAGATAAAGAACACGTGCAAATCTTTTAGCAATTGGCCAAGCGATGCTTTTGCGATATTTATGAGGAACCTAAAAGGCTGGAGGTTCTTATTAGAAATCTGGAAGAAGATTAACTAATGGCTAACAACCAAGATAATAGAATGCAGCTTTCAAAAGTTAGGGCTGAATTCACAAGATACCTTAGGCTTCAGGATAGCATCCTAAGACAGAAGGTCAGATTCAAGTGGCTAGAGGAAGGTGATGCAAACATAAATCTTTTATGGTATCACTAAGAACATGAGGAAAAGGTTGATGATCCAAAAAATCAGGGACATGGATGGTAACTGGGTTGATGGTACTAATGATGTTGCAGACACTGCTCTCAATTATTTTGATCAACTATTCTCTGCGGAGGATACTCAAGAGGATAGCAATATCCTTAGTGTCATTAATAAGGTTATCCCAAATGTAGATAATATCTTGCTAGTCTCAATTCCCACATTATAGGAGATTACAGAGGCAGTGTTCTCCATTAATGTTGACAATTCTCCTCGACCAGATAGTCTAAATGGAAAGTTCTATCAAGCTTGCTGGTATATCATTTCAAGTGATATCTTCAATGTTGTAGTATCTTTTTTTCAAGGAGCTATTCTACCCAAGTTTTTTACTCATACCTGTATTATTATGCTTCTTAAGGTTGATTCACCTCAAAGCTTCTCAGACATTAGGCTAGGTGCTTAATGAATGGTTGGGAAAAATCTTGCCTAAAATTATCACTCAGAACGAAAGTAGCTTTGTTAAGGGCAGAGACATAACTAAGAATATTCTCTTAGCATATGAGATTTTTCAATGACATTAGCAAGCCTAGTAAAGGGGCTAATGTGTTGATTAAATTGGATATGGCCAAGGCATATGGCAGGTTGTCTTAGCCCTTTCTTTGTTTCATGCCTAGACATCTAGGCTTTATAGAGCAATAGATTGAAATTATCCATAGATATATCTCTAATAATTAGTACTCATTTCTTGTTAATGGTTGCAGGTATGGTTTCTTTATATTTGGGTGAGGACTTAGGCAGGGTGATCCTCTTCCCCCTCTTTGTCATTCTTGGAGCTGAACTCCTATTTCTGCTTCTCAATAACCTTCATTGTAATAGAAGATATAAAGGGTACTTTATGAAGGAACATGGGCAAAAAATCAGCCACTTATCCTTTGCAAATGATACCATTATACTTTGTAGCACCTTAAAACACTCCCTGCAATTTAACCTGAAGACCATGTCCCAATATGAGAAGGTTTTAGGCCAATTGATCAATAAAAACAAGAGTTGTTTTACGATGGCACCTGGGTGTCCACGAAGGAAGAGATTAAACTTCTATACTAACATGGTTACTAAAGTGATCAACATAATCATAGGTTGGTATCTGAAATTCCTTTCGTTTGGAGGAAGAGTTATTCTTATAAGACATGTCCTTCGTGCTCTTAATATTCATACCTTAGTTGTTTTTCATCCTCCCAAGGGTACTATTTCCATGATTAAGAGATACATATGTAGGTTCTTCTGGTCTGGGCTTGAAGAGGGTGGCAAACATCACTGGATTTCTTAGCATAACTTATGCTTCCCTTACGATGAGGAGAAGCAAACTTCAAGAAGTTGGAGGAAATTTTCCCGTTTTAATGCTAAGCAATGGTGGAAGCTTAGAACCACAAACTCCTTGTGGTCAATATTCATGAAAGATAAGTACTGTGGTAATTCTCACCCTCTTGCAAAGACCTGGACAATTAGTCAATCCCATAGTTGAAAAGCCATGTGTGAGATTAGTGGTAGAGTTGACCCAAACAATATTTGGGATATTGGAAGAGGTAATATTAATTTCTGGTATGATAATTGGTCTAACATTGGCCATTTATACAAGAAGCTTGAGAATAACCGTATTCAGCAAAATGTTATGATCAAGGAGATCTTTAGAGATGGTCGATGGGATTGGTACAACTTGCAATATCAACTTCCTGATCACATTAAGCTTCAAAGTTCTCAAATGTGCATTGTTCTCAATCCTGAAGCTCAAGATATCCCTTAGTGGACTAGCTCCAGCTGTAGAGAGTTCACTGTCTCCACAACTTGGAATCTACTCAGACATAAGAGGCAAACTAATGAGTATGACTCAAGGATTTGGCTGAAGGATTTTCCTTTCAAAATGTCCTTCTTAGCCTGGAGAGCAGTGCATGATAGGCTATCTATTGACGACAAGATCACCATGTTTGATGTGTATTTACCATCTGCCTGCTCCTTCTATAATGCTAGTGGCATGAACAATAATGGGGAGGCCATCGACCATATTTTCTGTGGTGGTCAATTTGCTCAGACTATTTGGAGTTATTTCATTGGTCCTTTAGGGATAAGGTTACGGAATGTGAATATGAGACCTGATCCTTAACTGTTGAAATCATAGGACCAGAAATTCTGTGATTGCCTATTTTTTAAAGATTCTCCCTCCATTTGTGTTAAGGAAACTCTGGAGATATAGGTGTAGCTCAAAATATGGTTNCTAGGTCCTAACCTTATTTTTTAAAGTCAAATTTACTTTTTGTTTTATGGTTTACTTCTTAAAAGTTGTCCTACCTTATTTTTTCTGTTTTTAATGCTGTGAAACTGCTACACGTGGCTGATGTAGTTGCCTTTTCCCTGCATATCTCATTTTTGTTAATCACTCATTTTTGAAAAGTTTAGCAAATACCTATAGGGCGAAAAACATTTATCTGTTCCTATCCATTACTTTGCCCCTTCACCATTTTTTTTAATACTTAGCCAAATGAAGTCAATACAAGTTGCTATAAATCAAGCTAATTCAATCCAATCCAATTCAAACCAAGCCAAGCCAAGCTAAACCTAATAAGGTCAATTCAAGTCAAGCCAATTCAAATCAAGTCAAATAAAGCCAAGCGAAATCAAGCTAAGCTAAGTCAAATGGTAAAAAAAAGTTGGGATGAGTGTGGGTAGGTAGGGATAAATTAGTTTCATTTGGGTAGGTATATGTCACGACCCAAAATTCACTAAGGGTCGTGATGGCGCTGGACACCACTGTCAGGTAAGCCAACCAAAATACTTAATTAAATTCTCATTTTGATAATTTTGGAAATTATGATTTTCCTTAAATTTTACTAGTAAAATATAATCATTTCAAATCAAATATGAATGTTTAGAAGTTAATACAAGACACCCCGTAATCATCCCAGAACCCGGTATCACAAATGCCTGAGCATTCACTAGGGAATGAAATAAAATACAGTAACTGTCCGGAATACAAGGTGGACAGAAATGAAAAACATCGTAAAATACTCTGAAGGGGACTCTGCTGGATGCGGGTCATCTCGATAAATGCATCTCACCTAAGTCTACGTATCAACCATGCCGCTATGACACTAAGCCACTAGCCACATATGAACCTGTGCAACAAAAATGCACAACAAGTGTAGTATGAGTACGAAAACAACGTGTACCCAATGAGTATCCCGTCTAATCTCGAAGAAGTAGGGACGAGAGGTCGACTTCGACACTTACTAATGGTCCAATGATAATATAGTAAAAGTGTGAGGAATTCATGAATTTCATGAAGCAAAATTTAACTCATAACGCCGGAAAGCAGATAAACAACTTCTCAAAAAATAAAGGATTGCCAAAGATTTACTTTTCATTATCTTTATAAATTTATCTCTAGCCAAGAAAGGCAATTATCAACATTTAAAATTCTCAGGCAAGCTATAAGCATGCGCATATCATGCCGAGGTCGTACGGCCCGATCCAACATAAATGTAAAATGTGCACTGCCGGGGGTCGAACGACGCGAATCATAGATGCATCTATTACCCCACTCGTGAATCATACATGCGACCGGTCATCATAAATAAACAAACACCCCGCTCGCGAATCCTACATGTGACGCCGACACATACATACATTCAAACAATCAATTAAGGGTTATCGGGGAATGTTTATCCAAATAAAAGCCACTTCTCTTTTAATGATTTAAGAAAAATGAAGTTTAATCCTTTTAGAAATTCATTTACCAATTCGATAGGATTTAAGCAATTCATTTGTCAATAAGATTACAAATATTCCAAGTATAGCATGTTTTTGGGTCCTAGACTACACGGACTTACGCATAATAGTAGCTACGCACGAACTCTCGTCACCTCGTACATACGTAGCCCCCACAAATAGGAGCACATAACCAATTATTTCACCTATGGGGACAATTCCCTCTTACAAGGTTAGAAAGAAGACTCACCCCACTCCGTAGATCCATAACCAGCATTCCACGCCCTTCCGAAGACTCGAATCGATGCTAAATGCTCAAAAACTAGCCAATAATTATGCAAATCAATTAATATATGTTCAATTACTCATTAAAATCCAATTTATAACAATCCCTAACCTCGATCGAAAAGTTGACAAAATTGCCCTCGTGTCCACGTGCCCGGATTCTGAAATTTTTCGAAGATAGAGTTTACCCATGAATTCACAAACTCAAATATTTGATTTTCTCTTAATTCCATGCCCAAAATTGTGGTCAAAATCCAAGAATATCAATTTTCTAGTTTTTTCCCTCAAACCCCAAGTTCCTACCAATTTTCATGCTCAAATCCATAACAAAACCATGTATTTAACGTCTAATGAGTGGGAACAACTTACCTTGACATAGATGAAAGAAATCTCTCTTCCAAAAGCTCCAAAATCGTCCAACCCGAAGTGAAAATGGGTGGAAATGAGCCAAAACTCAATTTTTAAAGAGAGCTCACCACCTCCAGCCTTTTCGCACCTGCGGTCTCTTGACCGCTTCTGCGGTCCCGCAGGTGCGGACCAAATGCCGCTTCTGCGGTCCAGGGCTCCCGACCCATTCCCGCTTCTGCGTCCTCTCATCCGCAGGTGCAGTCTCACTTCTGCGGTGAAATGACCGCATCTGCGGTCCCAGCTCCCCCCCACCAAAATTGCATATGCAACCTTAGGGCCACTTCTACGGCTCCGCACCTGCGGCCAAAACCTCGCAAGTGCGGTTACACTAGATACCAGCTGTATCAAACCTTCTCCAAATTCCATTTTTGATCCGTTAATCATCCGAAATCCACCCGAGGCCCCCGGGACCCCAATCAATCATACCTACCCGTCCCAAAACACATTACGGACTTGCTCGAGGCCTCAAATCATATCAAACAATGCTAAAATCATGAATCGACCTCCAATCCAAGCTTAATGAACTTTAGAATTTCAAGCTTCCACATTCGATGCTGAAACATATCAATTCATGTCCGATTGACCTCAAATTTTGTACATAAGTCACATTAGACATTACGGACCTACTGCAACTTCTGGATTCGGAATCCGACCCCGATATCAAAAAGTCCACTTCTGGTCAAACTTCTCAAAAACCTTCAAATTTCTATCTTTAGCCAAATGACTCCAAAATGACCCACGGACCTCTGATTCACTTCCGATCGCGCTCCCAACACCTGAATCACTATACGGAGCGATTACCAGACTCGGAAGCCCAAATGGACATTAATAACACTGAGATGCACTCCAACCCAAACTTATGAAATTCTTCCAAAAATGCTAACTTCCATAATAGGTGCCGAAACGCTCCCGGGTCTTCCAAAACCCGATCCGGACATACGCCCAAGTCCGAAATCATCATACGAACCTGCTAGAATCTTCGAATCTTGAATCCGAGGTTGTTTACTCAAAAATTCAATCTTAGTCAATTCTTCCAACTTAAAGCTTCCGAAATGAGAATTCTCTTTCCAAATCAACTCCAAACTTCTCGGAATTCAGTTCCGACCATGCGTATAAGTCATAATACCTAAAAAGAAGCTTCTCATGGCCTCAAACTACTGAACGGTGCACTAGAGCTCGAAACGACTGGTTTGGTCTGTCACACCTCCTTTTCCCTACCTACACCCCACGAGGGGCGTAAAAGAGTTTTTCCAATTAAAGAACAATTGGAACGGGATTTATTATCGAGATTTCAGAGTCGCCACTTGGGATATTAATGGTGTCCCAAGTCACCG